TGGACTGGGTCTGTGTTTTGGTTTTGGGCCTAATTTTGGGGCCCAATCCGATTTTTCACAACTTTCTTCTTTTCTTTAATTACCAAAATTAAACAAAACTCCTAAATAAATTGTAAAAATCAAAAATAAAATAAAATTACACACATATTAGTTAACACCTATAATAATTAACACACAATTTAACATAAAAAATCACTCCATGTCCAGAGACACACATGCATATATTTTTGATTTTCTTTTAACCAAATTATGGTTAATTAATTTCTAAATGTGCCATTAATTCCTAAATGCATGCAACATGTATTTTTGTATTTTTGTTTACGGATAGAACGATTATCAAAATGTCACGCATATTCTCAAAATTGTACCCCAAGGAAAATCTTTTTATTTTTTTGAATTTTTTGGGAGTAATTCTCATAGGGAGCAAAAATCACGTGCTTACATTGTGGTAGACTCATATTTGCTATCAATGAAATTTGTTGTGTTTGCTATTGATTAGTTGTTTACTTTTCCTTGATAGTTTAAATATGTTTGGTTGATTACTGATGATTAATCCATGATTGCACTTGTAGTTGCCCAGTGGCCAATAGTAATTGTTAAAATTTTGGGAATCACACTGTGTTAATGCAACTTTTCGATAATGCCAAAATGGGGAATATATTGTGCTTTACATTCTGAATAAGTGATGCTTATAATCTAATGAATCTGGTCCTTGATGATAAGTAAGAATTCTCTAACTTTGCATTGATGAATAAGCTAAGTTCTGATAGGGCTGAAGTGAGTGAAAAACACAGAGTTTGTCATCATCAAAAAGGGGAAATTTATTGGCCCAAGTAAAGGTGAGTTTTAAAGATTGACAAAGGAACTCAGGCATGGACCAGGTCCATCCTAGTGAACCACAGACATGGTCAACTCAAGCATGTGAGATGCACGCAAAGGAGATAAACCTCACTTACCAGAAATGATATCTCTTGATCTTGATCGAAAAGGTTGCATATTGGATAAGAAGAAAGACTCCTTACACAAAGAGAACACGGTTTAAGAAATGGATAGAGTTAGAGGATGAGAACAACTAGAACTCTTCCACCAAGGAAGAGTAGCATCAATATTCTAGTCAATTTCTATTTACTAACTCCATAAATATCAGTGTTGTTCTCTTTTACAGGTAATGCACATAAGCAGAAGTTAAATGTGAATTGAGAGCAAAATAGCAAGGTAATTTTGCAAGCAATTTATGTGTGATTCAATTGTTGTAGGTGATTTTATATTTTTTATCTAGAAGCAATTGTATTAGGTACTCAGAGTTTTCAAATGAGAGTTAACTTGAAGTTGTCGCAACAATTTAGGCTGTGTGTTACAACGGGATCAGAGTTAATCCTATGTTTACAAAAGAGTCTTTGTAAATGCAGTTTTTGGCTCAGTGATTTTAGTGGAGAGTTTGGGAAAATCCTATTGGAAGGTAGGTCGTGGTTTTTTCACCTTTTGAGCCAGGTGTTTTCCACGTAAAATCTTTGTGTTCTTTAATTTATGTTTTTGTAATTTCGCAACTGTAGTAGTTGGAACACATAGAGGAACCAGATCTTTTTATAATCAAATTAAACGAAAACTTGGGCACCACACAAATCACCCCTCGTGTGGTATTGAAGTTTAGAACATCAGATGTATGTCCAACCAAAGTTACAATTTGTTTGTTTGTTCCTATACATTGATAAAGAGTATAAGAACTATTGAAAAAGTTCATTTTAATACTGAAAGACAAATTTATCTATTTTATCCAATCATGAAAATATAGATTATTTTGATATATACCAAGTCCAAGCTCAATCACCCACCCCTCCACCCTTTCGATCTCAAAATTCTATAATTAAAAAATAGAGTCATATTTTTATAAATATAATAATAAAGAAAGTATCTATTTATAGTGGAAAAGTTTAATTCATTTTTTAGTTGTCAAATACATTTATTTTCATATTTAAATTAATATAAAAACTGTTAGTAGGTATTGTTCTTCCTTTCACTCAAAACATTTATCTTGGAACACACTTTTTACTCTGCATATATCTGAATATGAGAGTCATCATTATTTTCATAAATTAGAATGAATATATATATGAGTTGTTAATACTTTACCTTTTCATTTTAAAAAAAGCTCCTGATTATATAGTATTCTCTTATAAAAATGAGATAACAGTATACTCTTTGTGTACCTATTATATATACTACGAAATAATACTCATGGAATGTCGCAAGCTCATCTTTTAGTTAAAGTTCAACAATTAATTTAACATTTTTTTAAGCTATGTAGAAGGAATATAAGAGTGAAATTCTGTTAAAATAAACCATTGCAGAAAAATTGCGTTGCTAATGCGTAAAAAGATACTAGAAGTGGACTTATTCTGGTGCAGAGAGGAACTAATTATTGGAGTTACTTCTGTTGAGGTTCTTTAAATCACAATCCAAGTAATTTTGATTTAATATGCCATATTATCACATGGGAGAAAATAACAATAATTCAATAAATAAAGGTTTATGCTTTACATCATTACGGCAACTTTGATTTGTATTATAATTATAATAGCCAATAACAACAATTAAGGATTCATGAATTTTTGGAGCGTCAATTGCTTGATCACAAGCTTGTGTATGGCTCCTCAGTTTATTGTTACTACAATATATATACACTTCCATTAATTCTCAAGACTATAACTCATGGATTCATGAAGTTGCCACTTTAAATCTCCTGGTTAACTCCTTCCTGCAAACAACCATATACATAATCAGTAAAATTAATGAAATTTGAGTACTAATATTTGTCCTTTTTTGAAATTTTACTAATGCTTACCTCATTAGTTGCCTGTCGAAGGCAGATGTAGACAAGAGACCTCTGTTTTCTTCAGCTCTCCGTATAAGGTATGGCATCACTTGCTCTACTGGTCCGAACGGTAAATACTTGCTTACCTGAAATCCTGCATTTCTCAGGCCAAATGAAAGACCTTCTGCCATACCATATAGCTGAGCAAATTGGAGTTTTTGACTATCCTTTCTGATTCCTAGATCTATAGCCTTCGATGCAGCAAGTTTTCCTATTTACCAAAAAAAAAAATAATATTGGTTAAACAATTGTTTTTACGTGAAATAATTATATAAATAAAATATATAATTCAACATGATATCAAAGCATGATAAATTTTCAGCAGGAACAATATTAAAAAGAATTTTCACCCACTTGGTCATAAAAAAGAATCAGGTCGGTCACGTAAGAGGATGGGTTAAAGATATGTCTAAAAAAAGGCAGTTCGGTGCACTAAACTCCCGCTATGCATGGGGTCCAGGGAAGGACCGGACCATAAGGGTCTATTGTACGCAGTCTTATCCTACATTTTTTGCAAGGGGCTGTTTCCACGGTTCACATGAACTCGTGACCTCCTGCTCACGTGTCAGCAACTTTACTTGTTAATGATATGTGTACGTAAATAAAATTGTATCTTCTCCAAATTTACCTGAGTCAATATTATGAGTTGCAAGAACAACTGCTCCAGAGCCATTAGAAATCTCGTCAAGCATAAACTCAGCACAAGAATTAAAGCAGTCATGTGTTTGCTCAATGCTATCATGAATTGGAGACTGAACACCTAAACGAGAAGCCAATTCTCTTTCACTTGACATATAAGCACCTCTCACAAGCTTAAAACCCATTGGAACTCCCATTTTCTCTGCAGCCTTTTTAGCTATCACCATTCTTTCTTTAGAATCTTTTAAGTAAGCTTGAATTGTTCCAAAAATCATAGGGTCATCATCTTTGTGATACTTAATTGCTGCAGAATATGCAAAATAATCAATTGCAGGTTGAATAGCTGTATCTTCAGCATCAATAAGTAAATCAACATCAAGTTCTAAGCATTTCTTGCAAATAGTCATGAGTCTTTCATGAGCTAATTGTAGATCATGTTCTTCTTCGACCGTTAGAGGCTCTGGCTTTTGTGGAGTGTGATAAAAAGGGCTGGAATCAGAGAAAAGTGGAAGGGACTTTTGCTTCCATGGGAGATTGAATGATGGATTCTTGTGTTCCCATCTCAGCAAATCGCTCATTCTTTTGAGAAGCTTAGGTGTACAAATTGCTGTTATCTTCACTACCACAAAGCTGACCTGTTTCATCACAATACACCTTTTAAAGTCTATCTAATTGAGATTAACTTCTATATCAGTATCCTAAATGATAATTAGAAGTAACTAACACAAAACTAAAACAAAAAAAATTGTATAATATTATGAAGAAAAAAAAGCAGATCATTGCTACATGTTAAAATATCATTAAAAAAATTATATTTTCAGTGTATACAAGTAAATCTTTTTTATTTGACCCAATAAGAGTAACCGATATATACTCAAAGTCAAAAGATTAATTGCCGGTTAATTGTTAGAAGAGGTTAAATGAAAGTTTGATCCAATAATAAAGTAGTAAAACTTAAACCGTTTTCTAGTACTCCATAAGGGTAAGTATGATCATGTGGTACATCAAGGAGAAAAAAAGGAAAAAAGTATGATCATGTCTTTTGTTAATAAGACGTTGAAATACAATTAAATTGTGTTAAGGGGTGCTACTTATATTCTACGCAATAGACACGTTAAAATTCATTATCATATGGGTGGTTGGACATAAGAATTGTAATATTCCGAAAAAATTTAAAAAATATTTCAAAGTGAAAATGATATTTGAAAATTAGAGTTGTATTTGGACATGAATATAATTTGGGTTGTTTTTGAATTTTTGTGAGTGATCTGAGTGCAAATTTTGAAAAACGACTTTTTGGAGTTTTTTCAAATTTCGCAAAATTCCAAAATTCATATTCAAGTGAAAATTGAAAATTTTATGAGCAAACAATAATTTCAAAAAAAAAGTGTAAAATTTTTAAAAAAAAAAGTGAAAAAAAATGTTCGTGCCCAAACGGGCTCTTAATAATTAACGGCGAGAAATATTGCTAAAGTTTTGACTTTGGCTCCTGTTATCTATGGATTATTCTCTCCAACTATATATTTTCATTTTTCACCTACTCTACTTTTGGATTTATGAGAAGTATTAGCTCGATCTAAACAAGAAATAAATCCTAAAAGATCTTTAATTCATGAGTTCGATCATACCGAAGAGGATGGAAGTGACTTGGTTGATTCAGCAGTCTGAAGAAAAACCTTCATACTCTGATCACAAGACTCATTTTCAGTTGCATGTTCCACCCCATAATCAAGCATTCCTTTTAACCCGACATCCGACAGCTTAGTAACAGTTCTGCGTACTTCAATTAAGTCTTTTCCAGCACAAAAATGTTCATAAAATGTACCTTTTACAAACCCCAGAATTACCTCCTTGACTATTGGCATATGCATGAGCTTTGAATTCATTACCCATATACCTACGTCAACCATAGGCTCAGTCGCTGCCATTTGAAGTGTCAACGTTGATCTTATCAACTTTAAGGTTGACACACCCGTAAACAGCTCCTTAACATCCTCAAAATTAATCACTTTTTTGTCGGCAGTGATTACTTGGTCCGTTGGTATTAAGGCCGGTGTTGTGACAGTCGTAGCATCATAGGCGCCGGTGAAGTTCATCGGCGGGACAGTTGGGGCCGTGTTTAGACATCGGACAAATGATCGGAGGTCACGGAAAGCCTTTGGACATACAACTTTGTTTGCCATGAAACTAAAACCTCGGTGGTGTAATGTGTATTTGTCGTCTGAAAATATTTGTGTGTCTAATGGATGTGCAACGTTTCAAAAGTTGCATGCTATATATAGACGAGGATCATTTCTTAGTCAAAGTCAAAGCTTAAATTTTTTAGAGATAATACTATTCCTTAAAAAGCGTAATGAATTTTCTTCACTTTTTACTTCAAGGTTTAATGAATTTTCTAATTTGACGGATCAAAATTCTATATTAGACCGTCAGACACGTGATTCAGATTCTATAGCAATTGGGTTTCCAAAATAGGGATTGTTGGGAGACCACTCGCGAATAAGCATTATAATCGGCCGACGTGTGTGTTACGTGCTGGTTGTGAAAGTGGAATTTATTTTACGAGAAAAATGGTGCGTTACAGCCGTTACTATGTTTGTGGGACAGCTTTGATTGGTTGGTGTTTTCTTAGGCGTGACATTAGCATCTAAATTAGTGTATTACGGAAAAGGATAAAATTTGCTGTGTCAGCAGTGTGTCAGACAAGGTACCACTGCCACCTAATATGGAAGCATTCAATTCCCCTTTTTTGCTTATTTTCCGTTCGTATTTTTCGGTATTTGGATTAGTATTAGCTTATTTTCCTTTCTTATTTTTCAGTATTTAGATTTAGATTAGGACAATTTCTTGCGTTCATATTCTTCTTTTAGCAAATCCTACTGATGTGACGGAGATTCGGAATCTTTATAAATCAATCAGCACATCTTTATAAGGGTTAAACTAAAGAGTGTAAATAAATTTATAAATTAAGTAAAAAATCATAATCATGAGAAGGAGTGTATAAAAAAGGGGGGAAATATTTTCCAAGCTCTTTTTGATCAACCTTCTCTACTCTATTCTCTATGTCCACCAACCCCCACCACCCCATCCCCAAACCACCCCAACCTCCACTCCCCCCGACCGTACCCCACCCATGCCAACCTCGCCCACCACTCACCCTAAATAGAACTATATATTATTAAGAATATTTTTTTTCATGTAGATAGAGTAATTTTTTTATTTCAACAAAATGAGTATATTCTTTTCATGATGTAGTAAAAATATTTTCTTTCATTTCAACAAAAGAGTACTTTTTACATGATTTTCAAAAAATGAATACTTTCTTTTTCATGATGTAGAAAAAATATTTTCTTTCATTTCAACAAAATGTGTACTACTTTCTTTTTATGATGTAGATAAAGCATTTTCTTTCATTTCAACAAACTAAGTATTTTCTTTTTCTAGAATAGAAAAAGTATTTTTTTTTAAAAATGAGTACTTTCTTTTCATGATGTAGTAAAAATATTTTCTTTCATTTCAACAAACTAAGTATTTTCTTTTTCTAGAATAGAAAAAGTATTTTTTTTTAAAAATGAGTACTTTCTTTTCATGATGTTGAAAACGTAATTTCTTTTATTTCAACAAAATAAGTACTTTCTTTTCATGATATAGAAGAGTAGCATCAAAAAAAAATTATACTCTCTAACCAAAACACTAAAAAATATTTTTCGAGAAAAGTTTTCACTCACCAACCAAACAAGAAAATAAGTGATAAACATTTTCTAGAAAAATATTTTCCTTCATACCAAACACACCTTAAGTCGTATGCTATTGGCACTTCTTAGAGTTAGAATTTTAAAATAAATTCTCTTAATTATTTTTTGATCAATTCTTAGAGATTAATTAAAACCAAGTAAATCTACTACATACATTGGACCAAATGATAGCTTCAAATGATTGCCTTATAGGTTTGGTAATTTTCCTTATCTGGTCTAAGCCGTAAAAGATGAACATGGTGATGTTTGATCAAGAGTTTTACATATTGTACAGCTCATTTAGCATTTTAAAACAAAAATTGCTGAGGATTACATAGTACATAATCACATTTTCCTCTTTTTTCCTTTTGTGGACACAACAATATATTGGGTTCGCAGAGATGTGAATCCCTCTAACTTGTATAGGGGCAACTTTTGAACCGCTCATCAATTGCAAAAAATAGCCATATAATCATCACATATCAAAGAATTGATTCTTTCTTTAAATAGTGTGATAATATGATTGTTACGCAGTACTTAATAATAGCTACTCCCTCCGGTTTATAATAAGTGATATTTTGGCCTTTTTATTTGGTTCAAACTAAGTGTTCTTTTACATAATCAAAAAGGAATTAATTTTATTTTTCTAAAATTTACCCTTACTTACATATCTCAATGTGTCAAGTGAAAAATATGCAAATATTTATTTAAGGGTTATTTAATAAATACAATTTTTTTTATTAGAAGTTAGTATTTTCTTAAGAGAGGTGTCAAAAGTAAAAAAATCACTTATTAAGAAAGGAGAGAGTATATTGGAGTGGAACACGGAATATTCTGTTTCCTTAATATGTTAGTTAATGTCATCCAACGTCTTCTCTTTATTTATGTTACACGCTAATCCCGTAACTTCAATCCTAGCTAACAATACACATGACTATTATGAATTAATGATGTCGGCAAAAAGATGCATTTAATATAACATATTAGAGGAGAAGGTATACACCGACTTTCTTAAAAGTTGTATGCGTTCAATTGTCAAAAGATAAGATATTGCCCTAATTAATAATACAACAACTTGCATATTCTTACATTTAGAAAATGCTGAAAACGTCAGTAATTACCACAAAGAAAAGAACATATGATGATAAGTAATGTTGGTATACATATGGAGATGATAAACGTAATAGTCATATTTCATGACGAGAAGGTATATTCCAACTTTTCTCAAGTTGTCTTCGTTCAATTATCCAAAGTTTAGGTATTTTTCTATTCAATACAACATGGTCAGGCACTCTGGAACTTTCGAATGTTGAATTCTAATAAATATATTCTTCATATGAATTTCATCCAATCGCATTACGTTGAAAAATATGGAGGAAAAAATCAACTTAATTTGTTTTTTTGGTTTGAAAAGACGGTGAGAAAAAGCTTGTATACTCTGTGAAGACTTATCTCAATAAGCAAGATACCGTGTTGGCGAGGCTAAGGGCCAAGAATGGTCTTAAATTCTTTTTTCAGTTAAGTGTATGACAAAATTAGGAGCAAATGAAATGTTGAGTCGTACTTAAATTCTGTTGATTAGTCAAATAATTGCCCACTCTTCTAAGTAATAACCTTTGCAAGAGATTTTTCTTGGAAACTTCTTTAGTATTACATTTTCCTCAGATAGTGCATGTAACCTATAGGAAAATACCTTGGGCATAATCTTTAAAAGAAATACTTTTAATTAAAACGTTCAGTTGTATGGTGTTTAAAACGTGGAAATATAAAAATATTAGTAGTAGTTTGGCTTTCTAACTAACTAATTAGTGCACTTAAATCGCCAGAATAATCCCCCCTACCCCGCCAAAGGAAAAGGAAAGGAAATAAAACAATGGAAATCTGTTTTTATATCCACCAAAACAGATATATTATCGCAAGAATAACATAATTAATTAACAACTTGCAAGAAGAAAATAATTAATTAGCAAGTAGCAAGAGGAGCAAAATTAATTATTAGCAACTAGCAAGAAGTGGCAATACATATCTTAATCACGTCACCATTAACCGACTAAAGCAAGTGGCGTCATAGATCACCTCCTTCAATTTCTTATGTTTGAGAAATCTTTTTAATCTTTATCTTTCATAATCATCTTTCCTTAACTTCAGAGCCTCATGTCCCAACCTCTCATCAACTTAATTTTGCTTATACATTAATTCATTTATATTTGTAACAAATTTTGCGAACTTGAGTTTTTATTTATTTCAAATTTATATCCTCGTCCTACATTTTAAGTTTTATATTAAAATTTGAACTTGAACTTTATGGTAATTAGTAATTAAGCAAAAAGTAAAAAATAGCCCTGGCCTTTATAAACCCGGCCTGGCTCATCTAACTTACTTAATGGGTCATGGGCTGTGACGGACACTTCTGTTTTGTAATGAACCCGGTTCATTTAATTGGGCTCGAATTGGCCCTGACCAGCATCCTACGCGCCCATAGCTTAATGGGCTAGGTTGGGCCCAGCCTGATACACATGATATGTATAGCTGTGAGGTAAATTTCAAAAGGGAAATTTTCGTTCTTATACCATATATGAAACTATATTACCAAATATGTTCATAGTTTACATATTATCCACCATGTTAATAGTATTTCTACAAATATAGATAATTCATTAAATAAGGAATCATTGTAGCTGTAGGCTTCCTTATTTAAGCGCGCTAAAATTGGGGAATTAAATATTCTTCCAGATCTTCTACAACGCAAATCACGCACATTAATAATTATCGTCGGTTTCGTTTCAAATTGAGCTACTCTATTTTTGCGATGCACTCTGTTTCAACCTTTTTTCTGATTTCACAAATCAAAAATGACTAAATCTTCTACAATTCTTCTGCAACAAACGCAATTATGTCCAAAATCTCAAGTATGCTACAACTGAATGGGAATTGGGATAGCTATGGGAGATTTAAAAAATTTCAGGTCGATGGCATTGTAGTCGATGAGGATGCGAGTTATAGTCTATTGATTTCTACAATAGCACATCAATTAATGATCGATACATCCGGAAAAAATTATAAAAATCAAATACATTGTCAACGAGCATTGTCTCCAATGAAAATTAAGAACGATATGGGTGTTCATGTATACATGGAGACGAAAAAGGAAAACAAAAATTTAGGATCATATCCGCTATGTATAATTGTTCGCGATTTCAATATGAAATTGAGTATCACCAATGAGAACACAGCTGCAGGTTTATGCTGTTAATTTTTCTATCAAATTTTGGTTGTATGTCAATATCCTACACTTTATCTACATTTTAACTACAAATAAACTACATGTTTGAGTAAATATATATATCAGTATGGATTTTCATAATATCTACTTCTACATTTATTCTACAATAAAACTACATATCATTTGAAAAATTAATATGAAATACAGATTTACAATTTTTCTACAAATTATCTATAAAATTTCTACAAACTGTTCATAATAGTATTTATCTTTATTTTCGTGTCGGTTCGTCTGGAACATTAAAGTTATT